GCGGGAGGCCGTGGAAGCTGTGGTGAGGAGCTTCGCCAAGCACACGCAGGGCTACGGCCGAGGTGAGTGCGGGGCTGGCCTTCTGCGGGACCCCCTCCCTCCGGGAGCGCAGCTCCCACCGCCGGCTGGATCGCTTTTCCTGGCGCGGAGCCATCACTTGCATTTCCCATTGGGGAGTTTCCCTCGGGCTCTACACACACACACACACACACACACACACACACACACACACCCTTTTAAGCCTCTCCCCCATACCCGCCTTTATTGAGTTACTACTATGTGCTCCAGGGGACACCCCCACATTCCCCCCCCCCCAAATACAATCCTCTTTTCTTCTTCAAAAGTGCAATTCCTTCTAACGCCTTTCCACCTTTGGAGATGGTAGTGCTGGCCTTTGTTGAGGACCCTCTCCTAGATCCCAGATACAAGGTATTTCTGGCCCCTACCCTCCCAGTCTATACTCTGAGCTCAGTAGTTCGTGGACCCTCCCTGTTCATTTACTCCATCATATTAACTTTTTCATGCCTTACTAACTTCATTCTGAAATTACCAATACAGCTTCAGATTTTCTGGGGAATTATATAACTCTCTGGCCTTCACAAGTCACTTGCCAATCTGGGGCCCTTCCCCAGGAAGCCCACGCCAGCGCCTGTAATTTAGTACTTCATTTGAGTGTCTTTTGTAGTATAGACTCTCTCTACTTGGGCCCCTCTGGCTGGCTGGCTCTGTTTGCCTGGCTTTGGGCCAGGAGCTACAGAAGAAGAAGAAGAAAAATCCCAGATCTTGGCGCGCTCTCGATGTTAAATTCTGTGTATATGCGCCAGGCAAAACCTGAGTTCCCCTAGAAATCTTCATCTTGAAGACACCTAATTTCTAGAGTTTCTGAAAAGAGGATGTGAGGATTTTCTTTGTTGTTTTTAACAAGTAAAATTTTCTGTTTGAGTTCAAGTTTCAGATTTAAATAGTAAGTAGCAAGTAATAGTAGCAAGTAAGCATATACCTAACAAGTAAGCAAGAATGAGGCATAGTCACATAGAATTTAGATCTGGAATTCGGCTAGCTTGGCTAATCCTGCTTGGCCTGTAGGTGACTATGTCTTTAATTTTCTAGTTTAACAATACAGGAAGAGGTTACAAGCTTTCCCCTGGACAGTAGAATTATCATTATTATTTGTTTCAGGATGTGGCCTGGAAAGAGCCCACACAGGTTTTGGAGCCTGACAAGTCTGGATTAAGTCCCAGATGAATTTTCTGTCATTTACCAGGGATGTCATTTATCGTTCACTGAGGAAGGGACTTCAGCTCAATGACCTTCACATTCCTCGAGTGTTATAATTTGGATTAAAGGAGAGGTTGCACCTGACATGTACTTACTGAATTGTAACTATGTTGCTTTCAATTTGTCTCCTGGGGAAGACAATGTCTCATTTTCTTGCCCTCTCAAGTGCTGATGGTGCAAGCCCAAAGATTCCTGTGAAAACAGGTTTTTAGATCTGTTTTCTATCCAATGATTCATTGATAGTCAGTTTCCCTGGTTGTTCAGACCTCTGCTAAGGCTAGGAATGCAAATGGACGTGATTCAGAGGCTCACTCAGAGAAAATACACTTACATTTCCCCACTGAATTCCTGGATTGAGCAGAGCTCAGTGGAGGAAAGGCGGCCAGCAGTTGTCATACTGCTCCACATCTCTGTGAGCTGGAGACCATGTGCAGTAGCCAGGAGGAGCGACCCTAAGTCCGAAGTGTTCCTCTTGGAAGCTGGCAAGAGTTAACTATTGCAGAGGACTGTAACTCTTCTTGTTACCTGGAGAGCCTCTGGTTTGGCTTCTAATCTGAGCCTCCTGTGAAAACTGTCACTCCCCGACCAGGGAATTGTGCTGACAAAGAGCAGCCAGTCAGGCTGCAGCCTCTGTGGGGAGACTGCTTGGCTCCCCCCCTCTTAGCCCAATCCTTCTCATTATTCTAGAGTTTCTTATTTCCGGTCTGGATGTCCAGCCAGTACTTTGGGAGAGTTTGGCAGATAGTTCCGTTTTAGACAAGTAGAATCTCTGTTGATTTGGCTCCAAAGTCTTTCACCACATGGAATTACTTACTCTGCTTCGATTAATAGGCGAAACTGCCATTGGCATGTACCCATATGCCCATGTGACTGATGGCATGGTATTTAGGGGCTGGCTCTGTGCCCCGGCATACAATTTACTTTGGCCTTTGCCCAGACTGTTCTCCGACCCAGCAATTCTTCATTGCATCTTCTTCAATGCAAACCTTCATCATCTTCTCAATTGCTCCAAATTCACCCAGTAGAGCCATAGGCTTTAGACTTGCCTTCATTCTTATTGGATCTCAGCAGCTGTGTACAAACCCTTCTGCTGTGTCCCCTGTTTGTCTTATTACCACCCCAAAATAAACACACAGCTCAGTGTACTATAGGACCTTACTTAGCTTAGAGTGCAACAAAAAACCTGGCCCTGCCAAATAGTAGCTGTGTGATCTTGGATACATTTCTTTCTATCCATAGGTCTCATCTGTTCCATTTATTCACTTAACAAGTATTTATTGATCATCAGGTACAGTGATTAGCAGGATAGATACTCAGTCCCTGTCCTCCTGGAACTCAGGGTCCACCTTAGACCAAGCATGAAGGTGAATATATTGCAATGAAGCAGAGAAGTGTAACAGAAATGTTCGCTCTGGAGTTCAATACTGGTTCTAAATCCTACATCTGCCAATTGTGGTTTACTCCTTGCTTTCTTTCCTGTAAAATGGGTATGCGAATACAAATCTGGATTATTTTGTGTGTATGAAGTGACATCAGGAATGTAAACCATCCAGTGGTTTCTATTATGTATTTGGGAATTCTTTGAAAACTGTGATAGCATAGGTGTTAATAGATGATTGATACTTTGTTGTCTGCCCTTTCCCCCCCACGTGCTATACAGTACCAGTCTTGTAATGTCTGAAATTGGCAGTCCCTAGCCTGGCACGATTGAATGGTACGGTCACTTCCCTTGCTCTCTTCAAACTGGTGTTTTGTTGTTGTTTCAACTATTGCTCTCTCTTTATGTCAAAGTGTGCTTATGTGATTGGAGACTTTGCTAGCCATTTGCTCTAAGTTGAACAAATGAACCTTGTACAGTGTGTTGTGGTTAGTTGTTCTTGTCCCTCAGAATCAGTTTCTCTGCCTGTGTATGATTGTGGAGTTAAAGTGGTCTGGATAGTCCCAGTTTGGGGAAATGTTGGATTATTCCTTATATTCGTTTCCTGTGGCCGTTGTAACATATTGCCAGGAACTTAGTGGCTTAAAACAACTGAAATTTACACTCTCACAGTTCTTGAGGGCAGAATTCTGAAATTAGTACCAGTTGATTGAAATCAGGGTGTCTACAAGGTCACACTCCCCTCAGAAACTCTAGGGGAGAATCTGTCTGTACATCTAGTCGCTGCCAGAATGCCTTGGTTTTGACCACATTGCTCTATTTTCTGCCTCGGTGGCCACATTTCCTCTTGGTCTGTGTGCCACTCAATCTCCTCCTGCCTATCTCGGATGATGATTGCACGTAGGGGCCATTGAAATGAACCAGGATAACCTTCCCGTCTCAAGATCTCTCATCTAATTACATCTACAAAGTCCTTGCCATATAAGGTAACATGTTCTGAGGTTCTGAGGATGAGGTCGTGGACACTGGGCAAGGATGGAGCATTCCCACCTATCACAGTCCCTTCCCAAAGTCTCTCCCTTCCGTTCTTTGCACTCTGCGTCTCTCTACTCCCTGTCCTTGTTGAAAGTGTTACTGCCTCAAGTTGAGAGATAAGAAGGTTCTTCTTGATCACATCTGGATGATGAGAATGTGTTGGCTGACCTAATTCACATTATTGTCATAAGTAATAGTGAGTGTGTTAGGCCGGGTTGTTTACAGAAACAAATCCACTGACACTCATATGTATACGAAAGAGTTTTAGATCAAAGAATAGTTATATGGGAAGAAGGCATCCCAGCCCAGTCCAACTGAAGTCCATCAGTCTGATACTAGTCCATAAGTCTGTGTTCAGACTTACATAGCCACATGCAAAGATACAGCATGCAGGATGACCCAGTGGAAACATGGCAGGCCTCTGGCAAGTCTCATGGTCCCAGGAAGCAGGAAGGCGAAGGACAGTGAGAGAGGGAGATTCACAGTCCCCTTCACCTCCCCATAAGAAGGTCACTCTTGCAAGGAGGCATCATCAGGCTGTGACCTTGTCGCAGGTTGGATTCCAACCCTATGCTTTCATACACATTCAAGTTGACAGAAAATCATCTCACTACCATAGTGCGTGCCTGTCCTCCTTGAGGAGAGCTCTCGATTTGTCGAGTCATTGAGGAAAAGGTCTTCATACTAATTTTAAAATTCTTGCTGATGGTGTTTGTCTGATCCAAGAGTAGCATATATTTTTATATTTTATAAAACTCTTATAAACTGCTCAGCAGTATCCATGAGCAAGTAAAAGAAAACTTCATCAAATGCCGTGACTTTTCTAATATTATATTCAGCAGCAAGTCCTTCATGGGTGGCAAACAGTCTGCTTGGGCTGGGTCCAGAAGCTGGATCTGCTTGGGATGGGTCCAGAAGAGAATCTTGGTTAAAACATGCACCAAGTGATTGTGGGTAAAAGTCCTGTGGAAGAATGATTAGTCTCGACTTTGAGGCGCACTGAGAATTGCACTGAAATTGCAAGTTAACATATCTTCTTATGGATAACACATTCCTAGACAGGAGGAACCTTTTCTGAATGACTAACACAGTTCAATCCACAGAGTGAGGACTTAATAAATGGTGGTGCATTGAATTAGCGGCGTTATAGGGCTGTAGGGTTAGTATTCTTTTAGCCATAGTCTTTGTAATGCACACCACCTATTTCGTGATGGATCTGGGTAGGAAAAGGTAGAGGTAGAGCAAGATGCTGACAGGATTTTATGAGTATATGATTCAGTTATAAGTGAAATCTAAGTAGGGAATTGGTCAATTTTGCCATCCTGCAAATGAAGCAAAAATAAATAAAATAAAAGCCATCTAAGAGCATTT